AAAAGCATTTTGGAGTGAAATTGTTTTGAGATATTGGGGTGTTAGTTGCTGACTCTTCCTCAGTTCTTTGCATAGCTCACTCCCTCACCTTTGGGTATTTGTTCAGATGTTACCTTCTTATTTAAAATTGCACACAACCCCACACTTCCTATAATGTATATTTACTTGTTTATATAATTACTCATTATCTGTTGTCTGCCACTAGTGGGTAAGTTCCATGTGGCTCAGGGTGCTTCCCAGTTGTGTTCACTGCTGTATTCTAAGCACCTGGTAATAGTGCCTAGCATGTAGAAGGTATCAGATGTGTGGATCTGATGTAGACATTTCTAGCAAGACTAGTAATTACTTAAGCTAATTCACTGTCATTTTGTTCTGCCCCCCCCCCTTCTAGTTTTTTCTCCTGGTTACCCAGGAATAAAAACTTGAGGCTGTGTGTGTGTGTGTGTATGTATGTGTGTGTATGTGAGTTGCAGGGGATTCGAATCCAGGGCCTTGTACATGCAAGTCAAGCAGGCTACCAACTGAGCTATATCCTCAGCCCCTTAAAGCAATCTTAATTCTTCCTCCTACCTTGCACCTCACATGCAAATATTTCACCTGTCAAGTTTTTTTTTGTGTGTGTGTGTGTGTGTGTGTGAACCTGACGCTTCTGTTGTTGCCAAGCCCCTCTTTCTTTGTGCCCCTTCATTTCATTCCATCGTCTACACCTACAGTCTCACAGTTCCCTTTTAAATTCTTTCACATCCTCATCAGAGTGAGATCCACAGTGAGAAGACTGGCATTCAAAACTCCCTATCTTCTATAGATAAAAACAGTGATTTCCAACTTAGGCTTATAAACATGAAAGTAAGATAAAGCTTTAATGGCAGTGTCTTATAAAGCCTGGAAATGAGTATTGCTTCATGACAGTTTTCTCATTTTTTTTTTCTATTAATGATTTGGACTTTTCCCCAGTGTAGGTAGTTATTCAAATAAACTGGGCTAATAGCTTTCCCCTGTTTGAGCTGAAGACTTCCGCTGCTCTGTTTTGAGTGCTCATCCTTCAAGCTTCCTCCCATAAGATAAGTTTAGTTGAAGGTAGTTTTGTCTTCCTCTGAGTTCTGATGACTTTCATAGGGAATTTATCACATTCTACTTTGAATTGTAATTATTTGAGCATTTTTCTTTTTCTTTTTTTTTTGCTGAATATAAACTGAAGGACAAGAAACACATAAATTCCAGGAAGCACACATAGAAAAATTCCAGTTATCTTTTTTCCTTTCAGTTACTTTTAAAGGAAATATAAGATCCACATCTATTTATCTGCTTTTTAAGTAAAAGTAAAATTAAAATTCTGTTTAATAGGTCTTTAAATCATTAAGATTGAGCTGCAACAATTATTTCTACCATATGGACATATAAGGAAAATGGCAGTGGAAATTCAGTACTAAGTAAAAAGATACAAATGAAGATATCCAGTTCTGTGTTTGTAGAAGGAAGTGGGTATAGGAAGAGCAACATATACAACACTTACATAGTCAAATGTTTTTAAAAATACACAATAATCTTACCCAGGAAGCCACTGGGACAAGCCAGACTTATGGAGCAACATCTATAGCTTTGAGTTTTCTTGTGAAGTATTATTTCTAAATTGTATTTTGTTTTTATATCTGCAGGCACACCTAATACTCTTTCTCTGCTTTGTTTTCTGAGCTGGATAGGACTGAACATTGTCTGCTCTTGTGGGAATTAATTTGCCTCCTTTCATTGTTTAATCTCAAAAAAATCACTCTTTTTCTTCACTTATTTCCTAGATTTATGGAGAATCATCTATGCCAGAAGTTTTTTAATTCTTTGGAGAAAGGTGGTAGATAGAAGATACTGAGTCTATCTGTTGTTCAAGATTACAGTTTTAAGTTTGATATCAGCATTTAGTTTAACATGTTTTGGTTAATTTTATAATACAGACATCTCCTTGTACTTTTCCAGTTGAGTCAATGTTTTTCTTTTACCTGTGACTCTTTCAGATTAAAACTGAATTTAAGGATTTTTGTAGATGTTTCTGACATTTGATTTTATCTTTTCTTCTCCTGTTACCTCCCAAACCAAATGAGTTTTTCCATTCTAGGGCATGTATTAGCCTTATTTTCTTTGTTCTTGATTTTGAGTACTTACAGGTATAAATAAATTTATTTTATAATTTCTAGGGTAAAGCTGCAGTTTCTACTGATAGGAAAAGAGTAAGGAAAACATATATAGAGGTTCTAATTTTTGAACTTTTAAGATAAAAATTTACATATTATTTTTACTAATAACACAGCCAATAAAAAGACTTATCACAAATGTGCTACAGTGTCAATATGTATTATAATTAAATATGTAATTGATTATAATTTGTGTGCTCTGGAAGATGTCTTCTAATGTGCTAACAAATGAAGTTTTACTGTCAGAAGAATTTTGAAAGCAAATATTTGCTCTGGAGTGAAGTTTCCTTTTATCATACTATGTAAGCATCTGTGTTTATCCTGATTTTTGTTTTTAAAATGCAAAGGCGTTATATACTTAAAATGGGGGCACAGACTAGTGATACATCCCTAGCACATGGTGAGCATTTTGTAAGTGACTTTAAATAAGTAAATCTGTATTTTTAGGGAGGATTTTATTAAGTTATCATAACCTGTTAGTATATTGGGGTGACCCAGTAACAAGGCAGAGAGTGATGATTTAAGAGATTAATGAAGAAATGATGAAGCACTGTTTACTTTAAAGATCTCACCATCATAATTTGACAAATTGGAATTTCTAAGCATGTTTCTCTTACCTGTTGCATGAATAAGTTAAACAAATGTTTAGTAGGGCCTTCTGAACATGGCAGTGAATAAGTAAAGGTCCTACAGTTGGGGAAGCTTTGAATAAGCAAGCAAAATGCAATCCTAGAAGCAGTCCATAATGCTAAAATTGAAATAAACATGATGATGGAGAAGTCTAATTTGTGGAGGGAACATTTTTAGTTACAGTGTTCAGGAAGGTTTATCACAAGAAGTGACATTTGAACAAAGGCCTTTGTGTGAAGAGCTGTGGGGAAGTCATCCCAGATGAAGGGACCATAGGTACAAGAGAGACTTCAGAAGGGAAAAAGTTTGGTATGCATGCAAACTAGGGAAAAGGTTGTTCTAATGGG